AAATTTGCGTCCTCTAAGTCCAAGAACTAATCCAGCTATTCCACCGATAGCAATAGCGCCCATTCGTGGCATAATGTTACTTTCCTCACGTAGATAATCTAAAAGAGCTACAAAAAGTATTTAAATTATTGTGTTATACAATAAAATAATTTTATAAAATATATCAAATATATGCTTGATTAATACTTACAATTGCTGTGTTCAAAACCAATGTCGATAGTATCTGAGATAACACCAGTATAATGTTGATATTTAGATACAACTGCTTGAATTGACTTGCGAATTTTAGATATGTTCTGCTCTAGGGCTGAAGGTGGACATTCTGTACTGTGTTATAGAAAATTTAATAATAAACATTACATATAAAACTAATTGATAGAAAAATATTAATTTATACATAAATTTTTATAAGAAATATTCAATAATACTTTCTGCTCCCTAATAACAATTTATCACAAGATTGAAACATTTTTTAATTGCAAATTAAATCTTTGTATGTGATATATAACAGTTATAATTGGAATTACTTGTGCTTTACCATGGGATCTGTTTAGAATAATCGTCATCAAAAGAATAAATAGGTAGTTCAGATGGTCGAATTAATTTCTTGACTCCTGGTTCCTTAATATTGGGTGACATTTTGTCTTCCGACAAATTTGTTGGTTTTAATACGGGTATCGCGCATAACCCGCACGGCATCAAGATTTTCTTAAAAAACTTGATAAATAAAACATGTTTAGTGTTATACTACCAAATACTTCGTATAGACTTGTAAATTTATATAATTACAGAATTACCATTGTTTGGTTTCTCGTGAAAAATTATATAAATTATATTATATGTATATTACAGCGCATATATTAATAAATCATAAAAAAACTTTTTAACTTTTATAAAATTGTCAAGTGTACTATTAGCAGAAGACGCAACAACACCGCATAACACTAATTGCCACTAACCCATAACCTAACCTGTTTGTCCTGCACTAACCAAGCCACATAAAAATATGGCAGAGAATATACGGTAAAGCTCTATATATGTAATACAGTATCTAGAATTGCGTTCAGTTTTTTCATCATAACTATTTCAAATAAAATTCGGATAAGATGAAATCTCTTTTTTCTAAAAATTAGAGACTTTACCGGATAATACCTATAACGTTTTTTCTGTGAATAATTATAAAATACTTACTTTATACAGATATCTCAGCCTTAGAAAAATATATATGATATATCTTTAAAAAAATAAAAATTATTTCAAAAAATGTCAAAATGACAAAAAAGTGTGCTTAATTTTTCAATAATATAACAGAGAAGAAATTTGCCACCATCTGCAAAAATTTTCTATGCAAACAAAAGAAAGAAGCTTGATTTTTAATTAAACTTTATAAATTTTATTGAAATTATAGTTTTTTTTCCATAATGCAAATTATTTTAAATGTTCAAGTTTGCACTCGCGTAAAATATTACTTTACAATTAATTGATATCTCTGAAAATGCTACTTCTCAAAATGTAGATACTTTAATTTCTCTATTAAACATATTTGAATAACAAAATTTAATTTAAATTTTGTCTACAACACGATTGTAAAACTTTACATTAAAATAAGAAGATAGCTCTTCTTTTTGGAAAAGAATTATATCTTTTTCATACTTTAATACTGGTTCTACCCAGCTCTACCAAAGAACCCGGCTGATATTCGTCGCAATGATGAACGGGTTCTCTGCAAGTTATATCTTTACCAAATACGTTCCCGATAGTAAATTCCAGGATTTTGTGTATAACATCATTCATACTATCATGTTTAAGGGTACAAGATTACAATTCTTGTACTTTCATATATTTCAAAACTCAAAACTCTTTGGTTGTGCAAATGTATGTATGTACCTACATCAAACTGGAATTTCTTTTTTTTCTAAAATTTTCAGAATTATGCTGAATTCAGACTGTATTTTCATTGATCGCTATTATAATTACAACATAGCCTAGTAAGTATAGGTAATTCTTAACAAAAAACACATTTGGTATGTTTTAGTTATGGCATTTTATCCGAATTTATTGTAACAAATATATTATAGTAATAACATTTATGAATTTGTATTGGCATTAGGTCCACGTCGGCGGCCAAAGGTTTGAACGACGTTGACAAACCTACGATTATACTGAATGCGTCGCTTAGCTCGCCCAGTCTTCTTTTTGCTCTTCTCTTGCTTTTCAACCTATAATAAACATACATTAATTTAATACGAACATATGTATATTTAAATATTTTTACACTTCTTTTTGCTCTTCTCTTGCTTTTCAACCTATAATAAACATACATTAATTTAATACGAACATATACTATATTTAAATATTTTTACACGACTTAGGCCTGATTGCACCAATGTGATTTCGATTTTAAGCGAAACTTAAACTGTCTCTGTCTCTGTCTCCCTTTCGGCTTTAAAATGAGATAGATAGAGTTTTAAGTCTCGCTTAAAATCAAAAAGTATTGGTGCAACCGGGCCTTATAAGATTAAAGTTTAAAAATTTATTTTTTTTAAGCAAAGAGAAATATATTTATTTTAATACATTTAATATATTAATGTATTTTTCATTCGTAAGTAATAAACCTAAAACAAATTTATTTTGAATCAAAATTCTCTTTACCTTGGGTGTCTGAGCTTTCACTTTACCAGCACGTGCCAAAGAACCATGAACCTTTCCTGAAAAGAAGAAATTATTTTATAATCAATTTTTTTGTGCTTTCATAATAAATATAAAAATTAACTAGTAGTTTTTTGAACATGGTTGGAGACACTACCGTGTCTCCTGATATCTTTTAAAAGTTAAAGTATATTTCTCAAATAAATTTGATATATAATACAATTGATCCAGTTTTAATTGCCTATATTAAAAATATTAAAATATCATTTAAACATGTTAAAAACTTAATTTTATTTTCTAGAAATTAACTTACCTCCCCGTAAAGGTACAATCAACTCAAGTACATTTGATTGAAGTTCATTAACACAAGTGTCATCTGCTAATAAACTTCCATTGCAATGAAGATGAAATTCATTTTCAATGCCTTGCAGACTTGCAATTCTTTCCTGTAAACAATAAAATTATTAGTATATATGTATAATCTAAATATTTTTTTCTTTTTAGTATTTATCATATAAATTAAAAAAAAAAATTAAAAAATAATATTGTAGTAAACTTATTAAAAGTGAAAGTAAAATATAACTTTCTCTTTTATATAAATTTACATATTATTTTTGCATTAATGCTCGTTCTAGCATTACAAGGTAAACAATGCTAGATTATCATTTTAATGCTAATTCCTTGAACATTAATACCCAAAGACAAATTTAGATTAAATTTTATATGTACTAAAATAAAACTACTTAAAAAAAAACAGCAATACCTTTATATGTTGTATTTTTTCATTATCTTCACATTCAATAACAGTCGTTTCTTGTCCACGAATTTGCAGCTGCATGGTGCTTGTGTATGTAGTACTCTTTATATACCAAAAGCCCTGTAATATATTTTAAATAATTAATAAAAATTACTGTATTAATATATTATTGAAATTATTGTCGTACATATAAACATTTAATTAAAAGTGCTAAACTAATGTATATACTTTTAGAATTTGAAGAACTAGTTTCACTAACTCAGTTAACTCTAATCAGTAATTAACTGTAAACCGTAATTGGTAAAATCTATTAAATAACAAATGCGATTGATCAGTTCTACAGCCGATTAAGTAATGTCTGGTTTATGCTTCGGTCTTAAGGTCTTAATCCTAAAATCAGCCAATAGACTTTAAATTTCGGTTAGAGCTGTCAGCTTTATTGATTGAATTTTAGGATCTTGGGATTAAGACCTGAAGCATAAATCAGATATAAATAGCATTGGCAAAACCAGTCAAAGTCAGATAATCATAGGTTTGATAATTGATAAAAGCGAAAAGAAAAGTTCTAGTAAAGTCTAGTGTAAGAATAGAAAACAAACATTAAGGCCTGATTACACCAACATTACCTGATTTTTAAGCTAAGCTTAAAATACACTTTCTCTCTCTCTCTCTCTCTCTCTCTCTCTCTCTCTCTCTCTCTGTCAATTTATCAACTTAAAAAAAAAAGATTTTTAAGTTCACTTAAAGTCAAAATAATGTTGGTGCAATTAGGCCTAAGTGATGTGGTAGCGTAGATGTCAAATTATAAAAATATATATATATATAAACATATATAAATATATAAACGTATAAATTATATATAATATATATAAATATACACATATACACACATACCAATATTAATAAATTATAGTTATTTCTTTATAAAAAAAATGTTCTATGGAAATTTGTATGCATTTATTATTAAATAAGTATTTAACTGTAGGAAGACAGATATTATGAGAATCGCTAAAAGTTTGCACTACACGAAAACGTATTTTTTAGGTTACAAATTTATAGGCACATGCTGAACGGCTTTTTCAGATCATAAAGGTTCTAACGCAAAAGATTTAATGATGAATCGTTAATGTACAATTATTAATGAAGCAAAATGTAACTTTTAATCATTGAATTGTGTTTAATCTAATAATATATCAAATATAAATCAGACCCACCTTACTAAACCGCACGCAATGGAATCCAATCAAACATGGAGAGAACGTACTATCCTTTCGTAAATACAGCCAGTATTGACTTTTGGGCTGCGTTCAGAAATTACACCTAGGTAATTCTAAGCTATAGTTTACGTTACGTATATTCGGTGCTTCCCAGCAAGAACAGAATCAGACACTCTGGCCCATTTTCTTATGCATGAGTCAATGGACCAATCAAATTGATACTCATGCATAAGAAAATGGACCAATGAAATTCCTTATGCACATGCTTTATGCGTTATGCAAAAGTCTGTGCTCCCCGCTTATGCCTGCTACAAAGTTCACACGCACACAAGCTTTGCTTGTTGGCTACCGGTTGCGCCAGACCGCCGACCGATGGCGTTTGGCGGTAATGGCGGTACCATCGAGTGCTGCAAGCGGGTTGGAATTTTGGAAATCGCATCACTGCTGCAAGCGGGTTGAAAATCGTATCATTGATTAACATTGAAAAATGTCAGTCAAATTAAATACAACTAGCTCGCCATCAGTTGAATTAAGCTCCTATCGTGATCAACATTTTAAGGTATTATTTTTAAATTAACCTCAAATTATTTAGTGAATAATTTTAATTTATTTATGTTTCTTATATGTATTTCTATTTCTGTTTTTTACATCTACATAATTGTTTGTAATTTTTAGTTTAATTTTCATAATATCAACATTTGAAAAGTGCTTAATTAGAAATAATTGGTATAAATGCATTTAGCTGTATATTTATATGATAAATACATTTTTTTTTTTATACTTAATAACTGATTTAGTCTTCTTCATCATTATATAGGGTACAAGGGCTGAGCAAGACAGACTTTTAAGGAATTCCTGTACTTTATATGTTGGTAACCTATCTTTTTATACTACTGAAGAACAGATATATGAATTGTTTTCCAAATGTGGTGACATTAGGCGTATCATTATGGGTCTCGATAAATATAAGAAGACACCATGTGGCTTCTGCTTTGTCGAATATTATCAAAGATCTGATGCCGAGAATTGTATGAGATACATAAATGGTACTCGTTTAGACGACAGGATTATTAGAACTGATTGGGATGCTGGCTTTATTGAAGGCAGACAATATGGTCGTGGCAAAACTGGAGGACAAGTAATTGTTTTTAATATCTCATCAGATTTTAATGTCTCAATAGATGTGACATGTAATATTACTTCATATTTTAGGTGAGAGATGAATATCGATCAGACTTTGATAGTGGACGAGGTGGTTATGGTAAAATAATTCAACAGAAAGTAACATCTCTTTCTGACGGTGGATTTGGACGGTGAAATTCTTAATAAATAAGTAAATGAGATATTGTATGAATGACCATACATATATATGTGTTCAACTTATATTTCATCGATTATTTGTACATGTATGACTGAAGTAATTAATTCCAAGTGTAAATATGTTTACATAATAAGCTTATACCTTAAGTAACAAAAATAAGGAACGATTCATATACATTGAAATAAAAAAATTTCGATACTTTAGACGAGTGTTTTATATTACAAAGGGAATTGCAAATAAATTTGATTAAATTATAAATATTTATATATTCACGAATTTTTTGGTTATTCATTGATGAGTTAATGTAACATTTTGCAAGAGAAATAAAATTTATTTACTTAGTATAGAATAAGTGAATATTGTTTTCTTACTGCTTAAACATTTGACTGAATTGTTAAGCATTTATAATAATAATGTTAAAAAGTGTAATGAAGGAAGACGTATTGTGGAATTTGTAAATTTATATTTTATATTTCTATATACATACAATAAATATCTTGGTAATAAAAATTTAAGTAAAAAAAAGATTTGTACATGCTGTATATTAAAATTTGATTAAAGATATATAGAAATCTTTAAAATTGCTTATTAATATCTATTGTTATAATTAATATTCATCGTTTTATTTTTTTTTAGAATTAGATTTTGATCTTGAGGTAGTGAATATCATATCATCGTTACTATTTTTCTGAGATAATTTTTGTTTGATTAAGCTTAGAAAATCTGTATCATTTCCATTGCAATTTTTCAAATTATTTTCAGTTCCTACAGTTTTGCAAGTATTTCTTGAAGATGTATGTTTTTCATTATTTTCCAAATCAGTTATATTACTTTCATGATTTAAAATATTATTAATTATAACAATACAACTTTCTTTTTCTTTTCTGTTAATGTCAGATATTTGTTTAATTTCTGACTTGTTAACAATTGTCTCATCGTTAACATGACTTATAAGATTTTCTGTTTTTTGAATATTTGTCTTAGATTCTTCTACAGTTTCATAGAATGTTTCTTGACTCTTAATTTTTTGACTGCATATTTCTTCACTAAAAGATGTAGTCTCATCTTCATCATATTTTTGATTAGATTTTTCTACTAAAAATTCTGCTGTATGAATTGAACCAATATCTTCCTCAGATGTATCCAGACAAAGAGTATTTTTGTTAACAACTCTACCTCCGTATAAAAAAGTAGAGACATTTTTGCGTCGCCACATTTTGGAAGTACTGGGTATAATCTGCTTACGTCCCTCAAAACAAAATTCCTTTATGTCGACATTGGTAATCTCGCCTTTTAAGAAATGTAGATATTTTTTTAATGCTGTGTAAAAATGCAATTTGTCTACCATTCTAGGGAAGTTAGCACATCGCGCGCTACTCGATGGTGTCACCCAGATTGCAGTATCACCTATGCATTCCGGTTGTAATCCAAAATAGAATTTAGATTTAGTAGTGATATGAGCAAATACTTCATAGATACATTTACCATTGAACACTGCAATTCTAGGTTTATATAATTTTAATTTTTCTTCCACTACTTTAGCACCCTCTTTGAGTTCTGTTCGTTTAAGATCTGCAGCAGATCTAGTGGGACGTTCAACAATATTTGTCAAACCAATACTATACTGCAAGAGTTTATAGTCTTCTTCAAAACTGATCAATCTTGGTGTTAGGCCAGATTCATGCAGAAGCTTATAGAAGTGATTACCAGGACCTGCATAATATCTACCACGATGTGCTGCCATTAAACTTGGATTGATTCCGACAAATACTATATCCAAATTCATCTCCAGATAATCCTGTAATGTATATTTTTGGACTTCTTCCTCTGACAATCCATTGAATCTGTCTATTTTTTTCTTGGGTCGTTCCAAATCTTCTTTTGTTAATGGTCTTTTCTTGAGCTTGTTCAAATCAAGTGGTGACATGACACTCATGAAGCGAGAAAATACATGCAGGAATCGATCTGAAAATTTTTGTTTTCAATATTAAAAAATTGTAAATTTTTTATGTTGGTTTAAAGAATCTTTATTTGTAAAATATTATTTTGATATTTTTTTACGTTATCAAGTCATATACTTTACATTTTAATTGAAAAAGAATTTCATCAATTTATTTAAGAAAAGTTCACAGTGGTTTTACAATGAAATAAATATTATTGATAAAGGAATGAGATATAAATACACATTCTCTCTCTCTCTCGATATTAATCTTTAAAAACTCACATAATTTATATATCTCGAAAAAAATTCCGTTCCATTTTTTTTCATAATTTTAACTGAACGCAGTAGTTTCACATTCTTCACATAAACCACATAAACATAACATTTTGTAAAATATAAACAGATATATTATTACAAAAATTCATTACAAAGTTATCAAATAAGACGATACCAGACGATACCATAGACGATACACGCAAGAAGACTAGAAACCAGGGGTGCGTTTCGAGTTACGCATGAAGCGCGTAGACTATATAGAAAGTCGTTCCGAACTATTGCGCGCTTTGAAAGCGCTTCGACAGTACTTGAATTCCCCAGATTGTATTAACCGTACTGAATTCTCAGGGTGCTGTCCCATGATACGGAAATTACACCGGAACGGAACAGTGAGACCAATCAGATCTCTGCAATCATTACTCTACTTTCCTTTCTGCGATTGTGATTGGTCTCTCTGTTCCGTTCCGGTGTAATTTCCGTATCATGGGACAGCACCCTCAGGGTGATTTTACATGCAGCGCGGTACGCGATAAAGTAACTATAAGGTAATTAACCTGAAGAAGCCACTCATGGCCATTCACGCTGGTAGTAAATAGTACAAAACTAACAGAAAGTCGACTACCTGATTGGCTACTGCTTTTCCGCTTTCCGTCAAGGTGTGAACCCGCTCTAAAATCACTTATTTTCCCTTCATCCGAGGACACACTTAAAAAAAAAATCTTAAACCTTCTTAAACAGAATGTAAAAGTTGTAAAAAGAAATTATACTGTACAATAAATGAACGCTATAACTTGTTTATAGGCAAATCCTGTATTGTATACAAATTTTGGAGTATGATTACAGTAATTTTTTTTTATTAATATTATTAATATTCTGTAAATAATTTTTTAATAATATTCTGTAAATAAAAAAAAATTACTCCTTAAAAAATGATTTACAGAATATTAATAATATTCTGTAAATAATTTTTTAAGGAGCTTTAAAGGCATAGATGTCTGCGCTCCACGTGTGTAATTTCGTCGAGTACTTGGTTCCAATTATCCTTATTCTCATTCCTCATAGGTATATCTTTCATCGACAATAAACTGTCGAAGATTTCGATGCCTTCAACATTTGAACCTTTGGGAAGCCGGACAAGTGAATAGAAGCTCAGGAGTCTATAAATTTGTATAAATAGCAGAGGATCAGGTGTATCGGTGGATCCGCAGCATCCTCTAATCATTCCGAACATTCCCTGTGCAAAAGTAAACAATACCACTGTATAAACTGTGTGTTAATAATAATTATAGGTCGTGCTCCATGAATGCCACACTTTCGCTTAACTTCATCTCATCATGTACCAGCGTTCCTGAAAAACAAAAACCGTTGTAAACCATCATATCTTAATTTGATGTTATTAAGAATGTATTACTCACCTCTTCTTTCCTCAGGTTTCATAGCAGTACTTTTTTCTTTTAACATTGCGAAAAGTGCAAAGCCACTAGGGCTGAAGTTTTTTATGTATTTATTAAGCGTTCCAATAGTAGGTAAAGCTAGTATGTTAAGTGAACGAAGATGAACATAAGCCTTACGGCTTTTTATTCTTAGTAGCAGGCTTTCCAGTATCCAGTCTTTTGTATAACGCATTCCATGCTTGTCATTGGAGCGAGAATTTCTCCAACATGCTTTAATCGACTTCTTCATGACAGGTGGAAAGCTTGCTATTGCTTCGTCAAGAATTTCCTCTTTTTGTGAAGCACATTGTACTTTTAAATTCTCTAATTCTACTTTGTACCTCTCCAGCTGTAACATATGTCAACTCACATAAGTATGCAATTCAAAAACTGAAATTTATAAGCTTGTAGGCATTAATAAACGTTTACAAACCTGGTTGTATATCCGTTTATACTTTTGTTTTACATTTTTCTTGCAAAGTGCCTCCTTCGCTTTTCTGGCGGCTGCTCTCCTTTCACGTTTGTTTTCTCTTTCTTTTTTTCTTTTGTTCTTTAATTGGCAATCTTTACAAAGATTGGATCGTGAATGTGGTTTCTGCTCAAAGTACCCAATGGTGCAGGACTCTTCTTGGCACATTTTCATTGCACTTATTTTTCGCAATGAAAAATAAATATCTTGTAGGCACGTTACCTTTTCCAAAAGATGATAAGTGACAGGATGATTATGAGCACGTAACTGAAATAAACAAGCCAATCAAGCCAATAGTATAGGCAGATAAATTCATATACAAAAAAACTTGTAACGTATAAAAGTCCGAAAATACCTCGATGGTCATGTCACTCTTTACAAGTAAAGAACGCTGTATTGTACTGCTACAATGTTCCGAAGTGCTTTCAAAAAGTATGAAAAGTAATCCACACTTTGTTTCCATCACACCCCATGACCCCATGGACTGATAAGAAGGTCTCGCATTCCACTCCTTTAGTAACACCGTTGTATTAAAAACATTTTCTGAAGTGCATTCCATTGGTGTATGCAGCAGTGATGAAGATTTGTCGCAAAGTAAAGGTAGTGACTGATTGTCAGAAAAACGAGAAATTGAGGAGCTTTTAAGATCATTTGAATCTATACACAATTTGCTTTCAAGATTATTTGAATCTATAACCGAGGAACTTTCAAGATTATTTGAATCTATAATCGAGGAGCATCCCTGAAGAAAAAATTTTCCGTCACATCAAGTGCTCAATTATTAGGGAGGATCCCATTTGCCTACATTCCCAATTGCATACACCATTCACATCGATTGATAGTAACTTTTCCGTGCTTTATCAATGAAGTTATATTATTTTTAAATTGGCCAATCAGTGAGCAATGTGTGTAATCGTGCATGTAGGCAATCGGAACCTTCCCAATTATTATCTGGAAAAATATATGCAGCAACGCCATAGATCACATGTGACTTTAATACTTACTGGAAAAATGTATGGGACACTTGTTGATTTTAATGTTGGACGCCTACGTAACAGGGTCAACTCCTTTCCATCCTTTAATATGTTGATAGGACTTCGATGTAAATTACTGCCAAAATGTTGTTCGCAAATGTAATAATTTTTGCGAGTTTTCTTTCCAACTCTCAAGTTTGGTCCAATTGCATTTATCCAAGTTTTAAAGTATGGAGATTTCTGCAGTATATAATAATTGAGATTTAACATAACTAAGGCATCAAATTTGTTAAATTGCTTGTTAATTTAACTTAGTGATATTACTGCGGTAGTGAATATGTATGCGTCAATGCTGAAAATCTATCAGCGTCGCGGGGGGGACTACATACGCAGTATATAAAATTTCACACAATTATTATAAGCACGTTGATCTAGCTTCGACCGTTATAGGCTTCTTCTTCTAGTTTATTATTGTTTATCAATTACGGTCATAGAAATATTTAATATATTTGTTAACATAACTGTTATATATACATACAAATGTCGGACAATATTATTAAATCACATTTTTACGTACCTCACAAAATTTGAATACTGTTCTTCGATTTTTTTTATCTTGAGGATTGAAACAATTTCGAATACAGCACACTCGTTCGGTCATCGTACTTAGGATTAATTATTTACACGTTTTATCTTTAATCTTCTTAAGTTCAAAATTCAATCGAACAAAACAAGGTTTGTTTGACATGCGCTGTCACGAATTGAAAACGACTATCAAGCGACAGAGAGGACTAATGAAGCGCAAGAGTGGGGGAAGTACAGCGCAAGAGTGGGGGAAGTACTTGTGGGTTAACCACAAGTTAACCAGATAATGAAAAATCGGGCCTAGTCTTCTTGGATACACGCGTGAATAATAAAATAGAGTACCTATAGGTACTCTACATTAAAGTGAAAACGCGCGCCCTCATTTAGTTGAATTTTGAAACATTTTAAAACAATCATTATTATTGATGCTGGATAAAGAAGAATTTTAATCAATCTTATTATTACCATAAGAACACATATCTTGGTAGAACAATTTTCGCTGGATTATTCCATGTTTTGTAACACTTTTCAGCAAAATTTCAGTTTTTCAAAGAAATTTCAACACAAATGTCAAAGAAATTTAAATAAAATTTTAAAGTCCAGTTCAATTTCCAGTAATTTTTTCTATATATGTTTTAATTAGGTAAAAAATTCACTTTCAACAAATTTTTAACAATTTTATTAAAATATTCTAAAACGTGGAATATGTGAAATAATTTCAGCGAAATTTTTTTTATCAATATACCAAAGTAATCTTTCTTATCATCAAGAAATTCATAAAATATAATAAATGAAAGAAATATTTTTGCAATAATTTTACATAAAATAAACTTTACTGTCATATTTGCAATTATTACGTTAAAACAATTATGTATAGATTTTACATTATAATTTATTGTGGATGAAGTTTGATAATAATTATTAGATGGAGTTTGATAACAACTATAGGGGAAACGTTTCCTTGGGAACGTTTCCTTGCAAACACATTAGAAAGTCTTCGTGAAGGATTTTTCAATGAAACTTAAAATATTTCTCATTTAACTGGTGAACTATTTTTCGACTGATTCATCACATCACGATATGGCGAAAATTGAAATTGACGTAAATCGTGTATCTTTTCCTTCTACGAGGTTTACATTGGACGAATGGGATCTCGATAATCAGTTCAGGTATCAATAAGTCATGCGTGTGACTTTAAGCAAAATTACAAAAAATCCAGCTAAAATTGTTAAGTTCTCTGTGGAAAACTCGTCAAGTTGTATACAATTTAAAATTTCAAATGTTGCTCATCTATTCCGGATGTAATTAAAGAGAAAGCAAATAAGTTTTTATCAGTTAAATTACGCTTTCTCTCTCTCTCTCTCTTTCGCGCACCGTACATACATCCGCACTCAGAAGATCGTAAATGTAGATGATTTGAGACAGTGCAGGTAACTTAACACAGCACTTTTGTTAAATCCAATCGTGGTATCCATTTGTGAGTCTCTAAAGAAAGTTAAAATTAAAAATTTTTTTAATGACTCATGAATGGATATCACAACTGAATTTAACAAAAGTATACATATGCTGTTCCAAAGTTACCTGTACTGTTATCTATATTTGCGTAAATTTAATCTAACTTTTCTTTTTGTTTTGATATAAGACTGTAATTTGGATGAATTATAGATATCGAAGTTCCGAGGCACAACAAGAATTATCGGAACGGCTCTTAGCTGAGGCAACGCTTGCGTGTGAGTCTGCCAAGGAAATCGTAAAAACTAATAAAAAGGAGACAGATCATCGACTGTTAGAAAAACTAAATGACATTGAATTTCGTAAAGGAGAATTGCTACGCATAAGAAAGGACACTGTTCTGGAAATCGATGCATTGTCTGTATACAAAGAACGTATTACGGATGTATTAAAGTCCGTAAAAAGAAACGCTCTTGAAATTTGTGAAAAATGTCTCATAGCTAGGTTACTAAAGTTGTCAAATTTAAATTTTAAACAATTTGTTAATCCCTTCAGACTCGGTGCACATTTTATAATTTACATTAAATTTGAAAATATTTTTATTAAAATTATTTAATTTATCGACATCTCTCATCAAAGATTAGATATATGTATATATATATATATATATGTATAAAATAAATATATTGAAAAAATATATAATTTAAATTTAAAATTAAATAAAAAATGTAAAAAAATTGTTTAGTGTAAATTATTTATTAAAGTGATATATTGAATTTAAAAAGTTTTAAATGTTTAAACTAGTTTGTCTTTCTTTTAATAGCTCCAATAAATGTTTTTAAAATAAATTTGTTTTATTTTAATGGTTTAATTTAATTCAGGTCTGAAAGAGTTAAGCAAATTTCTCTTTCTTCAAACTAATTTTCTTAAAAAAAAATATTTCATTACAGAAAATGTAGATTGAGTATTGATTTGGTTTACGATGATGTTGAAACGAATCTATTGAAAGAGCGTGAAGTGATACAAGGAGCAGAGAATCTAGTGGATCGAATTTTAAGAAAAACTTACGAACAAATCCGTAAATTAAAAGCCACGTTATATTGTATTGACCATGATCTCGAAAATAAGGAAAACAATTTACATATCGATCGTCGCAATGTGACTTTAAAAGAAACCGATTTCAATTTGAACATTTACCACGGTACTTCGCCTCTCGACAAATCGTACGTAACGTTGTTGAGAAGTATCAAGTGTTGTATATAATTTGCATACATTATCATCGGAATACAGTGCACATGTTTAACCTTTAGCCGCAGCTATATACAGGATGTACTTACTAATCCTAATTAAAAACTGGTTCGAAAATTCATCTATTATTTTGCAATTTTCGTAATTTTTATTTAATTACTCAATGTGTGTGTGTGTGTGTGTGTGAGCAGAACGTACAAAATTAGCATGATAAAACAACTTTAATAATTGATATCTTTAAGATCTCTTTACAAAACATCTATAGATAGATATATTTCATAAGAATCATAATAAAAGATATGTACTTTAAAGTTGTCTTATGTGTTGATTACCAGCTTATTTGAAAATCTCTATAAATTAATATTTCTGTAACTATTGTGAAAATTACAAAACGACTCAGAATTTTTCGATTTAGTTTTCGATCAGGAATAGTGTCATATGACTAAATGCGAGAGCTTTTTTAATATACACTCTGTATATTGCATTATAATGTTGAGAACAACAAAGGCGGATTTCTTTGATTTGTATGTCGTCATTTGTGTATAATAATAATAATGATTTAAGAAAACATATTTTAAAAAAATAAGATAATTGTGTAAGATCTTAGTAATTATCCAATTTACATATCTATATGTTTTATGATACACAGAAATAAAAGATTTTCTTTTCTTTATACGTTAACGTAAATTAGTTTTTTACATATTGTCATTTGCGTTCAATAATAATGATCTAGACAGCACATTATTTATAAAATATTTACAAGATATTTGTATAAATATTTATGATTTATTTTAAATACTTTATAAATATCTTTGTACAAATATTATGGTATAGATTTATGATAAATACAAAATATTTATGTAACATTTAAAAAAAATTAATAGTGATAAATATTTATTATAAATATTTTGTGCAGCCTACGGAACTATAAATATAAACAAATATATTAACAAAACTAAACAAATATATTAAAGAAGAATAAAATGTTCACGTAAGATCAACTTAGAAAAATCTCTTGTTTAATAGCAAATTATTTTATTTACATAATTATCTTAGCAAATTATCTTATAATTATTTACATAATTATCTTAACAAATTATCTTACATTATGTATTTACATAATATGGGCCAATCTCATCAGCTTCTATTTATTAAGCTAATCAGTCGATTAAATTTTAGTATTACCAATTGCAAAACTGAAAACATAACTTAATTTTCTGGCAGTTGTACTAAATTTCTGTGCTTAAACAGTACATGTCCTTTAATTACTTAAATTTCTTAATTTCGAAAAAGCTATACAAGTCGAGCACGTGAGTATTTAGAAACATCTCTCGTCAGCAAAGGATATTTTTGAGTCTTGCAGGTGGCAATATTTAATCGGCCGATTAAGTTAATCGGAGTTAGTGGAATCAGGTCTATATGATACATGTATTATATATAATTCTAATTGCATGAAATATTCAAGAATAAAGAAGTCATATACAAAAGGACTGTTAAACATAGGGTAGTAAAATTGAATGAATGGGAACTGCAAACAAACAGCAATGTTATTGATGCAAATAAAGAAATGAATAGCGCAAAGCAATTACGCTGTTACATTGATACCATAATTAAGGAAACGATTGATGAATTAAATAACCAAAAGGATGTGACAAATAAAGCTTTCAGACAGCGTATTGAACAGACTCGAGAAGCCAAAACGAAACTGGAACTTCAACATTCAGAAGTGAGTAAAAAAATTAATGCAATCTAGCTATGATGATGCAAATCTTGACATTAATTATTAATTTAAGATTTCACCAGGTGACAAGTTTACGTATTTACGTTTTCGAAATCTATACATTAAAATGTTGAAAGAAAAATAGCTCCGATTAATCTTTGATAGAAAGAGTTTAAACACTCAAGGACATTTTTTTATTCCTCTATTTTATTATTTTAACTCAAAAGTTTTGTTATTATTTATTTTGTAATTTTATTAAAATGTCTTTTGTAGACAATAAAACAAGTTACCGCCATGTTAAACAATATTACACACATAAAGAAGTCAATAGCTGAGAAAGAAGGATATATGGCTCTGGCTCATACAAGATTAGGACATCGATGTCAACGTCCAGGGATTGAACATACTCAGGATTTAGTCGAAGTCAATCTCGTGAAAGAAATACATGAATTACGAAATGTCGTGGCAAATCTACAACGAATGCTTTACGAGGTTTTTGATACCCGTTTCTTTTTACGTTTCGTTCTACAAAATTCTAATTATAGAATTTATACATTTGCAGCACCAAGTAATATATTTCGTGCAATAAATAGTAATCTTTTATTATTACAATATATGTCTTACAGGCAGAGGCATCGCTACGATACTTGCTCAAAACGCAAATTCAACTCGAAGAAGATATCAATGTGAAGACGAATACTTTGAAAATTGATGAGGTTGAATGCATGACTTTACGTCAAAGTATGGATTATCGCGCTTATTAAAGTGCTATTATTTTAAATTAGTATCTATATCTTATATTCATAACCTTTACAATTTATTCATCTTTTTTTATATCTTAAATATGATTATAATAATGCTCTTTAGATCTATCAAAATTTTTGTGCCATGTAAATTTTTACACATAAATTACATAATCAAATTAAAAGTGTGACAAATAAAATAATAATCATCGAGGCTCTTAATCTTTCTCATCAAAATCATATTAGATTATTAAAATATCGCTCGCGTGTGATATTATGCCTGAAAAGAAAAAAATCATACTTCAATAGTATTTTTATTATTATATTATTTAATTTATTTTAATTAAGGTTACCAAGCGTACTTTTATAAAACTTGTACTGTCTCCGAGGTCGGAAAATAGTGTACTCTTATTTTTCAATTATTATGCTCTTTTTTGAGAAATGAGACAAAATTTAAAATTATTATTTAATTAATATTTAAATTTATTATTTTACAAAAAAGTTTTATGCTTGAAATTGTCTTTAACGGTCGAGCTGGATCTTAGGTGCTACTATAATTCCATATGAAAATTTATGTATTACGTATGTAATCTTTTTTTTTTAAACCACGCGCCGAACAATTTTGCGGTTTTAAAACGCAATTCTAAAAAAAAACTAGGTACATAATGTATAAATTCACACGGAATTATAATAGCACCTAAGATCCAACGACCGTTGAAGGTAATTTCTTATTAGTTATGTTTTTCACATGTACGGTCCTATAAGATTTAATATTTAAATATTGTTTTATGCTTGACTTGTACTATAAGGCGGTATTCGCTTTGGGCTGTATGTAATATATAAATGTTTATTTATATATTTCATAGAGGTTTTACTCGAGATTTAGTTACACATATTTGTTGAAAAAATTAATAAGTTGCAAAATACGAATCAATTTTATTTTCTCGATTCTATTGAATAATTTCTAATAAATTCTAATAAAATGTAAATATAAAATATATTTATTTATATATGAATATTTATTTTTAACTTTATGTGAAAATTGAATATAGAAGTTGTTTAGAAATATAATTTTATTGAATACCTACATTTAAAACAGAAAACTTTCTTTTCCTCATAATTTTCCCTTTTTTCTTTTTTTTTTTCGATAGTGTACTCTTTTTGTCAATTAATGTACTCTTTTCGTGCGATCGAGAGTTATATAGTAATCCTAATTATAATGAAACTATATTATAATTTGCTGTAAATCAGTTTTGATAACAAGTTCCTTAACATTTATATAGGTACAAGAAATTATGAATATATATAATAGGATTGTCAAATGAGAAAGATATTACGGAAACTAGTTTATGAATGCTCGTGAAAAACGAAATAAATATTATAAAATGGGGTCATGTACCATTGTCGCTTCTTCTTCCACTTTTTGATAGTACAATTGCAGTCCTACATAGTTATACTCTCTCCTCATCTACTCCCTCCTCTCGTCAAAATAATACAGCGAAAACCACAACGAATAGGCGAACAGATAGTTTCAAGAACCGGTATACATGTGAAAGGAAGGAGGGAAGACGCTTTCGTGAGCGGTCAACTGACTTACCGTTGCAATTTCATTTTAGTCCGTGTGCTAACAGGAATTGAATCGGTTAGTGGATGTGTCTAAGTATTTTTGTTCCGTTGGTTGCACAGAAGTTTATTTTTTTTTAATTTTCTCACAATTCTTGCCAAATTATTGGAGACCTCGCAGTGTATTCCTTCGCAAGAATTACTTGGTGTGTGTATGTGTAATGTGTGCGTTATAAAACATGACTTTTGCGATTGTGAATTATTTAAATATGACTGATAATATATAAAAATGCCAAATATCAAGAAACATTTTTACTAAAAAAATTTTAATTTTCTTTATATTTTAGTCTTTATACATAACATTAATCATAAAAAAGTTAATTAATCGTTATTGGATAATTTAATATATTTTCTTTGTAAAAATAATTTTTATGAAATCATCCTGTATGTTTTTCGACGTTATTATACATGGCGGATTCAATATCGAAGATGTCAGTTAATCACAACAATAGAATAAACGTTACACACATGGACAAAGATTGTGTAAGTATTTTTATATGTACATACATATAACAGTGTGTATTTATTCTCAAATGCATTTTATTTACTTTGATTTGTTTGTACAAATATATTATGTAATAAGATAGCGAAATAATTTTTTGAAACAATTTATATATTGCTTAATGTATTCATATTTTAAATATAAATATTCCTATCTCTTTCGTATTTTCATTCAAATTCATTAAAATATGATCGCTATCATAATCACCTAATAATTATTCTAATTATAATAGTGAATAAAGCATACATTCGAAAAATAATTGTTCAGATATATTTTATATACAAGTTTCTCTTTTAAAAAATTTCATACACAAAAATAACATTGATAGAATTTGACTATAATCTACGAAAAGTTAAAAATTTTTTAATATACACGACAAATTTTAATTTCCTATAAACTTGTTTAAGTTAAATCTTGTAAAAATCTAATATCTTTTAATTTGAACTTTCAACTCTTGTTAAGCAATGACTTTCGAACAAGTAATTTCTACCCAGAACTGATAACGGAATTGATGTCAAATCGACGTCAATTCCATTATCATTTCTGGCAGGGTATCATGGATTAAGCTGTATCTAAATAAGCAAACTATTTATTAATTTATTTAATATTCAATATTTAGTTAAACAAATATATAACTGTGTGTGTGTGTGTGTGTGTGTGTGTATGATAAATTGGCGTTATCTTACTTTAGGAAACATTTAATTTTCAGTATTCTCGGTAACTGTATTTAAAAATGTGCAGATATAATATTTGTATACAAAAATAAACTAAACGATTTATAGAAAAAGTAAAAGATACATTTTTTGTTTATTAAAAATTGAGTTTCCTTCTTGACTTTTTTTTCCCCTTTAGTGACGTTATACAAATAAAACAATTGCCGTCACTATTCAATAAAATTAATCAAATCAAAATCAATAAAAATTAATATCCCAGACAGCACACAGTATTATTTATAGAAAATATGTACAAAATATATGTAAGATTTATTTTTAATATTTTATAAATATTTTTTTGTGTATTAGATCCCTGCACAGATTTTTATTATAAAAATTATGAAATATTTATCGTATATATTATCTATAGTAAATGCTATGAAAATAGCATTTACTATGTATTACACTACATATTACTATAGCACATACTATATCAAACTAAATAAAAAATGTTATATTCACTGAAAATAAGTATTTGTCTATGTTTATCATAATTATTATATAAAACATTTAGTCTAAATAATATATAAAATAACGTCTATACAATATAACTAATAATATAATTAATAATGTTTTCAAGTAAAGCTTGTATAAAATATGGAAAAATATTTATACAATATTTAAAAAAATGAATAATAGAATATAATAATAAAATAAATAATAATAAAAATATTTATGAATATTTATATTATAAATATTCTGTGCTATCTGAGATATATATAATATATTATACTGTACGAAATCTATATAAATTTGTATTATTATGCAAGTATATAAGATATTAGATGTAACTAAAAGTCAAAGGCACATATAAAGCAAAGAAAATTTTGGAATAAAAATTACTAGAAAATTGCGTTTTTAATTGTTTCCGTTGCTGTCATCATTGTGGCGTATTTTTTATTATTTGAGTACTTTTAGTATTTAAGATAAATCTGATATTTCTATTACGTTGAAACATAAATTTTATTTATTTTATGCTGAATCATGATTGAAACCGAAGTATAAATGGTGCGAGTTGATTATGTAATCGGATCATGACCCTGCATATATTAAACACTCTTAACTATTCCGTGGGACAGAATTTGAAAGTGTTGTTTTGAAATAGAAATATATAATGTATTTTGTAGAGCGTACATATAATTTTACCGTTCTATTAATATACATATGTGTATAAATAGTGAAGTAATAAAATCCTAAAAGATTGAAAATATTGCTGTAAAATGAAAAAGTATTGTAATAAATAATAAAAATTTTACTTCGATAAAATTTGATTTTAATTTGGAATACTAATAAGTGCATGGAAACGAGATTTAAATACATGATACATCTTTGTTATTAAATACTGAATTAACATTTAATTATTATTGAAAAAAAAAATATATTTATGTGGACGTTCGAATCGATATATTTCTTCGAAATAAAATCAAGTACTAAAATATGATTTTCACAGAGTAATATAATAATTATTTAAGAGAGCGTATTTTTACAAAAACAAAATAGTGAAATATTTACGTATATACATATATATGTACCAATAAGATACAAACATAAATCGAATCCTATTGTTAATCATTATTTGAAAAATACCGCTTTTCACCACGAGATAGCAGTATCGTCGTATTATTGATTACAGTGTAGAGAATATGGGTTCTGGAAGTTTCCGTTGAATGAAATCTGCTACAAATTATCTTCTGAATTATATAAAGCCTTCAAGTAATCTTTGATATATTCGTGCGTATTAAAGATGCCAATCGTCAAGTAACTGAGTGCCGTGAGCGCGAAGGCAACAACATTCTCAATGACGATTCGAGCGTGACGTATTTTTACGCGCGGCAAACACGCGATTTAAAAGAATCTTGCAAAAATGCGTGCTAGCTCCGTTTAAAACACATGCTGCGCAGAAATATGGTTCTATCTTTATAGTAAGTATAATCGAGTATAATGTGCGACATACGGAATAATCCAGTACGATTCCTTTGATCTGGAAGTGTCCTTAACCACCCTTAACTGGAAGTGACAAACGTTATAAGGGTGCAATCACAGTACAAGGAATAAGGAATTAGGAATAAGAAATAAGAAACTGTCAGAAACTGTATTCCGATGTATCAGGTTTTTATAACAGGTTGAAATTTCTTATTCTTTATTCTTAATTCATTAATCCTTCTATTGTGACTGCACCCTAATGATGCAGAACACGCGATCTTATCGATAGCGAAAACGCTAACCAAAATTTACAATCGTTACTTTTAGCAAGCAACGTTAGATGGTGCCACATATCTTATTTTGATACTTGGATTATCAGTTGGAGCCACGAAGATCAAAAATATGATTATATTTATAGACTCTTAATTGAAGGTAGAAGCGAATATTAAATTAATACTTAAATATTTGTACCAAAAAATGGTACTCGAATAAAAAAAAAGAAAAATAAAAAGATCTACAAAGAAATAGATCTACTTATGAAAAGAAATGTAAAAACTTGAGATACTCGTACTCGCGGTATAATACATATAATATATTTTATATCTCTTTAAATATGTAATTCGCACACTTTTTACTACTAGATTTAACTGTAACGGTCTAAATATAAATCTAAGAAAATAAATATTAATTAATGATCTATTGAATTGCAATACATACGTTCGGCATTTTTATAAAGGAAAAGTAACAGGTACGATATCGACGTGTAAAATCGGATTATTTTAACCTAACTGGGTCATATTCAGCTAAAAATATAGTAGATAGGAGAAACTAAATTGTTAGAAAGTAGTGTCGGCTAAGTTAGAAACCTTGCAATGTGCTCCAGTCAGTCAACGACTGGAAAACTTGAAAATACATGACGTTCTACACAAGAAGTTAATAAGTTGAGAATATTTCAAACCAAAAAAAAAAAAGATTCGATCTATTTCTTCAAAGTCTCAATCTTTCGTATTATCTTATACTTTGATCGGTATAATCGTAGACCGATTATAGAGATAAGATGCTGACTCTGATTAACGTACATTACGAATGTAAAAATAATGTAAAAGAAAAATATAAAAAATGAAAATAAAAAAGAGTTTGTATTAGTAGTCTATTTATACTTGATTGAATAATTATTAGTTTCGTTCCACACACTGACTTGATGCTGTGCGTCACGTCTGAAAACTACGACTTGATAAACTACTCTTATTGATAATCGTGATGACTTGCAAGTTGAAAGGTCATAAGTGTGTATTTCGTTCGAAATTCGATCGTTTGGAAGTACGTTGTTGAATAAAATTTTTATTGTTGTTTTTCATATAATTATATTCTTAGAAAATTATTCACAAGGGTCACGTTGCAGGATATCGAGCGCGGCGAGACCCGATTCGTAGGGGTATCCTCGGTGTCGGCGTCGACGTCGGCGTCGGTCTCGGCGTTGGCATCGACGCCGACACCGCTACATGAGAGCAACGCCAACAGATATGACGCCTCGAGGGCAACGTCCGGAGTGGGGCACATAGCGAACGCACCATCAGGTACGCATAAGGACGCCCAGACAACACGTGCCAGCGCGAGCGCGGCATTAAGATCAGAGCGGGATCTCAACGGGAGTACAAGTCGTTGGAGAACGGTCGGCCGGTTTCTGCGGCGTCTCACTCTCATTATGTTACTGCTGGTAGCTGTGGTTGGAGTACTAGCTGTAATAGTCATCTACATGGGTCCGATTTACCTCGTACAATTACTCATAGTGATCTCCGTTGCCTATTTTGTCGCCGGTGGCCGCATGAGATGGCTCTACGTTGCCCTTAGGACGATACCACGGGATTTCAAGTGAGTCCAAGAAAATTCCTTTTTTTGCATACACTTGTTGATTAATTGCTTCTTGTGTAAGAATAACATTCTTATATAATTCACGCGTTATTCAATAAAAGATGAGAGTCTGTTCAACTTTAATTATATCATATTTGCCTATAGTCATTAATACGGATCTATTGGATAAAGATTTCTTTACATAATGTTAATCAATGTCTCAAAATATAAAAATTACATTCTTGTAATTTCTTAAATTGTATGTAACAATATAACTATACTTTCGATGACATTAATCGTTAGAATTCAGACGTCGGATAAAATTATTCAAGGCCACGCCATTGGAGATCTGTGGTAAAAGTAAGGAAAAATAAAAAAAACCCAGTCGTGAAGTTCCTTCTGGTACATCGCTGCATAGCTTTAGTGACATAGAAACTGGACATTGGCGTAATAACTTTCTTTTCATTCCCTATACATATTATTATGGGTCCCCTTAACGTATATAAGGTATAAAGTATTTATGCTGTACGTTTTGCAAATTGATTTTTATAACAACACTTCATTTATACATATAAATTTTTTTTTTCGCTACTTCCATAGTTTCCAAAAATTTTAAGAATTCGCGCAATTAAGTCAATTTACAAAATAAGGGAGCTAATCTCACTCCAAATTTTTATCATTAAACTTTGTCTGGGAATAAGATGATTAATATCGCTAATTTACGTAATTTAATTAGATATGAATAGAACATATATCTCTTTTTATCTTTTGTATGTATTATAATATATTAACTTTAATCTTGATTTAGTTTACTCTTCATTTTTTTCTAATCTTTACAATACTAAAATGAGATGAAGAATAAATTAGATTGAAATTATAAAGTTAATCTAGATCGATGGAAACGCATAATTTGAACACAAAGACAATCGCATATGCTATGAGTGTGTAAACAAAGAAAATAATATTAAAAAATGTTATATTTGTTTTTTTATAATTCCTTTTTTATTACTTTAATTATAAACTTATTTGACTAATAAGTTATAATACATTTATTAAATTATAATATATTATAAATAAATTATGCGAGTTATAATATCTTTTTTTTTTTTTACTTCACTTTTAGAAATGTTAAAAATTAATAATATAAAGAATAACTGATTAATAAAAAAACTGTTTACTTCATTATAAATTACATTTATAATAGAAATTTACATCTTTTATGAATTACAAAGAAAAACATACTTATCTGAAAATATGAATGGATAGATCTGATGCGTCTATAATTTTCTCTTGTGCAAATAAAATATAAATAACTTCAAGTAATTTTATCTTATGAATATATCGTAGATTTTTATTCGCTCTTTAAACATCACGTTGTGGTGAAATAGAAGATACGCGCGAAAAATTATCGGTGTCGTAAACTGCTCTCTAACTTTCACCGGAAACTATAGATATACAAGGTATATCATAAATTAAAGCAAGAAAATGGTAGAGTAAATCGAAAAGTAAAGTGAGGATATTGATCGAAGTAAAAAAGGATAAAAGTTTATTTCAATATTTTGTAATAAGTTTTTATTTCACGTTTTTATATAAAAAAAAAAAGCAATTCATTGAAGCAAAGGTCATGTAGCGTTTATAATCACAATTGTATTGATACATAATTTTATTCTCATATAAATCTTAAAGTTCATTTATGTAACCATAAGTGTTGCTGAACTTTAATGTGAATACAAGAGTTTCCGTGTTTGAACACGGATACATTTAATGAATATAATGATATAATCATGGAATTGTGTAATATTCTTATAAGTATACATAGAACATAACTACTATAATAAAGGAAAAAAAAAGAAAAGCTTTGCTTATAGTTTCTTTTTAATATTTTTTGTTAAATAAACGTTATTTATTTGCATACTATAACTTTTCTTTTGTCTGTGCTAACGTGACTTATGAATCACGTATCATTAACGTATTTTTATAGAAATAGTGAGATATCTATTTCTACCAAGACGTGTCTTTATAGCAATGTCTATAAGAAATAGAAGGAAAAAATGTGACGTCTTCCTTTTTTTATTTATCGTATAGAATATCGTTAACTTATAATATGTTGATCAAATTTTCAATGAATTCTTAATCTTACAGATAAGTTTATTGAGTCTTAATGATAAAAAGACTGAAAAAGTTACTTTTGTTTCGCTGCAATAGTCTGGAGTAAAAATATTAACGGAGAAGTATTCTTTTGTTGTGATTCTAATCTATGACCCTGACTATATAACCATGACCGTGATTATAGATCTGACTGTGGTCATGGTCATGGTCATGGACATAGCTGTAGTTGAGAGTAGGTTTCGGTCGTGGCCATGTGATCAAAACCATATTCAATGTCTTTCTTTACAATTTACAAGACGAAAAGTTAAAGAAAATTGATTATGTTTTAACTATTTAAATTAGCGATTCACATTATTTTAACAAGAAAGCAATTTTATCAGTTGTATTATTAGGAAATTATTAACATATATGTAGATGTGTCAAAAGGCATGGGACTAATGACTAATGTAAAGTCTATTCTACAATGTGCTCTTTGTTCCCTGTTTTCTTGCTTTTTACTTTTTGCTTTCCTCTCTCTTTATATAACCGTTTTATGATAATTATATTTCTTGCCACGTATTTCTTGTTTTTTCCGAAGTTCGTTAACTTTTATATCAGGTGATAGAAAACGAAAGACGAAATAAAGAGACAAACGAGAAGATGTAAAAAATAGTAAAAAGCAAGAAACGAAAAGCACATTATTGTAGAATAGGCTTAAAAGATTTGAGAGTGAGAATAAAAACGCGATTGTTTTTTATAAGCATATGCTTCAAAATAATAATATAGAATGAGGAATATTTTTTCCACCATTATGTTTTATAACTTGCTAGCTGTTCTTCCACAGTACTGCTAAGTGAACGTAGCATCCTCTTTTCTTGACCTCGAGAAGGTATAACGGAATTTCTTAGTCGGTCATTTAATGTAATCGCCCACATCAAATAATTGACTATGCGTGTTTCATAAATTTATTATTGAAAAGCATCAATCAAGAATTATAAAATAAGCATAAGCAACATATCAAATAAAACAATACAGACATCATAAATGTTTCAAATTTATATTGTCTTTTGTCTATCTAAATTAAATTTTTTTATATCTGTATAAAATGATTAAATTCTTTCACACAGTGCAGATATATTGTTTTTCATTTTAAACATTATTATATTTTAAGAGTTATTCTTAAAGCAATAGGCTAAATAACATATCTTTTTGAACATATCCTCTCAATCACAATAAATATTTCACACAATGAATATTTTTTACGATGAATAATTATGGAACTTGCTTTCCTTGAGCACCTTTTACTTTTTTTCAGAGGACTAATAGGATATGTTAGAATGATGTGGTCAGTACATGGTCACGGAAGAAAAAACAGAAGCGTCGCCGATATATTTAGACAACATGTCAATCGTCATCCTAATAAAATCTGTTTTATATTTGAAGATGAAGAATGGAGTTTTCAGCAGGTAGAGTTTATTTTTATAGAAAAATAGGATCCTATTATTATTTATAAATCATATTTTACTCAATAAAGACAAATTTAATTGATATTAGAGATTTAAGTATGTATGTATATGTCCAGGACTGGGCATGTATTTGAAATACTTTTATTTAAAACACAGTTTTTTTTTTTGTAATAAAAGTTTATTTTATATTTTATATTTCAACGGTGCACACGAAAGTATTAGATATGTATTTTGTATTTAAAATTGAAAGATTGAAAGTTTCATGTGTTTTGTAATTTAAATAATAAAATTAATTATCAATCTTTGTATTTGAAATACAGAATGTTTTTGTATATTGTATTTCCATAAATTATAAAATACAAAACATTTTCAAATATGTCCTACTGAAATATAAAATGTAAGATACAATTGTCTTACAAATTCTGTTTTTTTAATAAAAGCATCTTAAATACATGCCCAGTTTTGCATATATCTATACGTATGAGAGCATATGTGATTCTGAAATTGGTAAACTTAAGAATTCGAATTAATTCTTTACTAAGCTTCTATATATATATATATATATATTTGAGAATAAATGTATGATTTGAATTTGAAAATTACATAAATTTTTTAAATCGTCATTTCATTGTAATATCCTATATAACAAGTATTTCACAACTCGAAATGTCGATTTTAATTTTACTGAATTTTTAATAACTTTCCTAACTGCGTTGGGTGTAAAGACTTTTGTAATACATCTTTAATACTTTAAGTATACCAAATGATTATATACAATATATATAGTAATTGTATATGTCTATGACCGATATGGTAGGCTTTTATATTTAAGGCATTTAATTCGTATTTAGTACATTCTTAAAATGTTATAAACATAGGCCAATTACAGAACACATTAACATTTTAATAAGTACATTACTTAAAGAGGTTTTAAAATACTGACTTATTAATTTTTTCAGATAGAAGATTTTAGTAACAAAATTGCAACGATATTTAAAACTCATGGTTATAAAAAAGGAGACACAGTTGCTTTACTGTTGGAGAATCGACCAGAATTTATTGCGATTTGGTTAGGTTTGAATAAACTTGGTGTGATAACTGCTTTAATAAATACCAATTTACGTAAGAGCAGTCTTTTGCATTGTATCAATATTGCAAAGTGTCAAGCACTTATATATGGCACCGAGTTTTTTGACGGTAAGAATACTAATCAATAATTATTATCTGATAATAAAAAATAACTTTTTTTGAAAATTTAATTTAAATTTATTTATAGGGAAAATTTTTTTCTTTCCTTATTTACAATTATTATGTATTTTACGTTATAATCAAAGAATATCAACATAACGTCTAAACATAGAATTGATTTTCTTCATTAACCGTTCTTCTTGAACAGTTTTTCAGATATTTCGACAATTATTAATTCTAATAAACAATTAATTTCAGCTGTGACAGACATCGCCTTAACATTAGATGCTAAGTTAACGTTGTATAGATTCGGAAATCATCCGAATCCAATGTCAGTCGGATTAAAAGAGAAAGATTTGAATACTATGTTGTTGGATACACCCGCTGCACCACCGGTAGTACAAGAAAAAAGTGATTATCACGATAAGCTTTTGTACATTTACACTAGTGGTACTACAGGTCTTCCCAAAGCAGCCGTTATTACTAATTCGAGGTAGATATGTTACATATAAGTTTTGGCTTTTTTTTTTGAAAAAATTATAGAGTTCATGACATGTTTCAAAAAGAATTCTGACGATGTAGAAAATAGGGTTTTGAGTACGAAAATTCATATTTTTATTGTCTAAAATTATTAATAATTTAATCTCAATCGAGATAAATTTTCGTGTTATAACACATTTTGACAGAAATCGCGAAGCGCTATATTAAATTTTTCTTAAGATGTTTTGGAAGAAAAAAAAATGGAAAAATTTCTAGAAAAAATTTTTTATAATTCACGCAAGCTTGTAAAATTTTTTATCCACACACAGTTTCCAAAAACTTTTCAAAATTAAAAAATAAAACGATAATTTTACACAGAGAATGAATCAATTATATATCTTTTACAGATATATCTTTATCACAAGCTCAGTACATTATATGGGAATTTTGGGAAATTCTGATAGAATATATACACCTTTGCCTTTATATCACACAGCTGGTGGAATAATGGCTGTGGGGTTAGCTTTAGCATATGGACATACGACAGTGATTAGGAAAAAGTTTAGTGCTAGTGCATATTTTGCTGATTGCATTAAATACAAATGCACCGTGAGTATAATTTTCTATTTGTCAAATTGCTTGTCAATCTTAGACGTTAGATGAGATATAATAATTTTTTAGTAATTTATTCTATTTATAACGTAACATATATATAAAATTAATAGATATTGATAATCCGTATTCAGAATACGCTTACAATGTTAGCGCTTTAATATACTATAGTTTACGTTACGCATACTATAGAATTTTAGAGATAAAAGCCCTTTTTTTATTAATAAAAACGCATTCTGAATACGGACCTATGTTTTTATTTGATAAAATGAATTGCGCGCTCTTTCTCTTTCTTTCTCTACTTTGACTTTTGTTACATACTAATGAGAGATTGAAATTGCATAAGTATTATATCTTGGATAAAACTTTGAAAAATATTAGGTTGGTCAATACATAGGAGAAATGTGTCGGTATATTCTGGCAGTTCCATCTAAAAAAGAGGATCAGGAACATAATATTAGAATAATTTTCGGTAATGGATTAAGACCACAGATATGGGGCGAATTTGTAAAACGATTCAAAATTCCACGAGTACTCGAATTTTACGGTGCAACTGAAGGCAATGCTAATGTCAGTAAGTATTACAAAATACTTAGTTTAATCCTATTTTGCTTTTTGTATATGTATACAATATATAAGTATACATAAAATACTATACATATAATTAATATAATATCAATTCATACTTGGTGTTATTCAACATGTACGTAACATTTCAATCTTAACAAAACAATTGTTATCAAACTTTTTATTACATAAACTAAAATCTTGAGCATTAATGTTATTTTTATAATATGTGTGTGAGTTATAAAATGTATAATAGGTACATCTAATTATAAAAGCGTTTAAAAAATGTGTTTTCAGTGAACATTGACAACAAAATGGGAGCAATAGGGTTTGTTTCAAGAATTATACCATCAGTATATCCCGTGTCTCTGATTAAAGTAAATGAAGATGGAGAACCTGTACGTAACTCTAAAGGATTGTGTCAAGTTTGTGAACCAAGTAAGCTGTGATTGTATAAGATTAATTAATTTAACATTGATTTAAAAAAAAATAGTAATACTAATATTTAAAATTCTGACAATTTTTTTGCCATTTATGCTAAAATCTTATACACTGTATAATAGTACATTGTGTAACGCGTAGGGGCTAGTGTTATGGCGCGTAGGGCGCGAAAGCACGAGCGAAGCGAGTACGTGCGTATTCGCGCCCGTCCTGCGCTATAAACAATATACCCCCACTAGTTACTCATAATATTTTTTGAATTTTACTCAATAATTATGATATTGAATGCCTTCCAATAAGAAACACAGGCGACACAAAGTGCCTTCCAACAAGGACACAGCACGACATATTCTGTTCAATTGTGTAACACAGTGTCTCACCATGTTCTCTTATTGGAAGGCACTCATTGTGTGTTTGAACAAACATATTTATAAAATTAGATATTGAGTATGTTTAAAAATTGGGAAAAATCAAAGCGCACGATGTGCGCTTAATCTTTAAATTATTTTATAGTCAATATTAAATGGAGAAAAATAAAATATTTAATCCAATTTTTTAGAAGTAATATTCTCTTATATAACTTCAGGATAAGTAAGAATTTTTTCAATCAATATAATTACTCGCATTTTTTTTTTTATATCAATGTTTAATTCTTAACATAAATCAAATTTTTTATTTAATAGATGAACCTGGTGCGTTTATTGGAAAGATCTCACCTAATAATCCAACCAGGGCATTTTTAGGATACGTGGATAAAAAAGCATCTGAGAAAAAAATAATTTACAACATCTTCATAAAAGGCGACTCTGCCTTTTTATCAGGTATATATAAAAAATTTAATATATATAAATAAATATTAATAAAAAGGGCAAGGTAAAATTACGAACCAAGGTAAAATTACAAATACAAAAACAATAATACATATAAAACAGTTAAAAATTAAAAATTAAAATAATAAAGGTAAACCGGACGTTTCGACTCAATTCGAGTCATTTTCAAGTGGAAAGATAAAACACGTGATTTCCAAAAATAAATCTAATGTGGGAAAATGCAAATTCTGTATAGTTATTATTCATCGCTATATCCAGCCCGCGTATATTAAAAACAATGTAAATAAGTGGCTAAATATTAATAAAAAGGTCAACGAGCCAAGGTAAAATTATAAATACAAAAACAAAATACATATAAAACAGTTAAAAATTAATTATCTTTGCGCTTGAAGATGACTCGAACTGAGAGTCGAAATATCCGGTTAACCTTTGTTATTTTAATTTTTAATTTTTAACTGTTTTATATGTATTAGATACTGTTTTTGTAATTGTAATTTTACCTTGGCTCCTTGCTCTTTTTATTAATATTCATTTTTATTTTAAAAGTCACTTATTTACATTGTTTTTAATATACGCGGGCTGGATATAGCGATGAATAATAACTATACAGAATTTTCATTTTCCCACATTAGATTTATTTTTGGAAATCACTTGTTTTATCTTTCCGCTTGAAGATGACTCGAACTGAGTCGAAACGTCCGGTTAACCTTTATCATTTTAATTTTTAATTTTTAACTGTTTTATATGTATTATTATTGTTTTTATATTTGTAATTTTACCTTGGTTGATTGCCCTTTTTATTAATATTTATTTTTATCTTGAGAGTCACTTATTTACATTGTTTTTATAATTTAAATAAAAATTTTTTAATATATATAATCTAATATACAGAACTGTATTTGTTAAATTAAGTTAGACAATTTTATGAATTTTTGTTTATAATTATTTAGGGGATATTCTTGTTGCCGATGAATTGGGATATTTGTATTTCAAGGATAGAACGGGAGATACATTTCGATGGAAAGGAGAAAATGTATCGACTTCTGAAATTGAAGGGATAGTTAGTAATCTCATCGATTATCGAGATTGCATAGTATACGGTGTGGAGGTAATAATAATTATTTCATTTTCGTTTTTTAAATAGTTTTCTTTAAAAAATATAATTTTTGTATATTTATTATATAATAGTACATTATATTAGCACGTTGATACCAGAATTCTGAACTAACATAAAAATTACAATATTTTGTATAAACATGATTTAATATTGTAATAAGTAAGATAATAATTATTATATCGATAGATTAAAGGTACTGAAGGCAAAGCAGGAATGGCAGCAATTTACGATGAAGATGGAATATTGGATATAAATAAATTAGCTGCTGATGTTAAAGAACAATTACCTGCATACGCTAGGCCGCAATTTGTCAGAATTCTGACGAAAATTGATCTCACAGGTATGTGTTTAGAATAGATATATGTATAAATATATGTATAAATATAAATATAATCGATATTTTTTTTTGCTTTTCATGTTACAGTTTATAAGTCATGCAAACTTTAATTAACGAAATTACATTATGTTTAAAAAAAATATGCTTATAAAGTAAGGGTAATTTTGTTTGAACAGGGAAACAAATCCCCCCATGACAACATATGTTAAAGTTAAGGACTCTGAACGATCTCCAGGTTTTAACCTTCGCTCGTCATTCATTAAAAAAATATAATTATAAAATGGTAATAAATGTTAAGTCCATACAAAACGAATGATAGAGGTAATTTTAATTTAAAAAATAGTCAATGTATATGTGAAATGAAAACTTTAATTAATATTTAAACATGTAATGGATACATAGGCTTATACGAACACAAATTCATTACTTTAGCAGAATGTTTGTTTTTAATGCAGAAAATTTACGTTTTTGAAATAGAGTAAATTTATGTTTTTAAAGCAATAAATTACTGCTTTAAAAATACAAATTTACTGCTTTAGCAAGAATTTGTTTTTAAAGCAAAAAATTTATTTTAAAGCTAAAAATCTTTGTTGTATATAATAGCTAGAAAAGAGAGTTATTTTTTAAACTTATTTAGTTAATAACTTTTTAACGGATAACAAGTGACAGCTAAAATCTGTTGAAGGGTCACTCAGAATCATGACCTTGACAACATATATGTCAAGATATTGGAAGGAGTTCCCCTATTCGATATAATTACCAAAATTAATATTAAATGTAAATGTAAAAGTGTAGATTTTGAAAATAAGCATTGACTATTATTAGCTAATATAAAATAAATTATATATTAAGAAATTAAAGAAACAGCTAAATTACAAAGGCACTTGTTTTTGTACGCACTTTTGAAATAATGAAGCGAATATGTTAATATATTAAATTAAGTTGCATTGAATACCTGTATATATATGATTTGTAGGAACATTCAAACTGAAAAAGAAAGATCTCCAGGAAGAAGGATATAATCCGCACAAAATTCAAGACAAACTATATTATCTAGACGCGAAGCTCGGTTATCAGTTATTAACATCAGAAGTTTATGATCAAATTCTTCAAGCAAAATTCAAGTTTTAATTGATATTTTCTGGACAAATACAAACTACATATAGCAATAATTGATCTTTTACAAAGTGTACTATGTATACATAGATTACTATTACAAATGAATCTCAGAGACCTGATTAGGTAACTCAAAAAAGCAAAGCGACTACGATATCAGCAAACAGAATTACATTGCATCAGTATATTTTCAATGAATTATTATTTACAAATAGTTATATTTGTATCAAGCTTCTTTTTATTTATTGAATTTGCAGACACGGTATGGTGATAATATATTTATAGAAACTGAAGGGATCTATTAAACGATATATGACAAAAGGTGAATGTTAAAAATTTAGAATTTAATTAAAAGTAGTTAAGGTAAAAAATATAATATATAAAAAGTATATATATAATATCTGGATGTAGCTAAAAAGTTAAAATTGTTCATACAAAATAATCTCATTGAAATATATAGTTAATAATTAATAAAATATTTTTATCTAGAATTATTTTAATTTTATTTATAAGTTTTTAAATATCACTTCTCATTTTATAAATTATAACAATCTTCTTAGTGTTTTAACGCAGTATTTTTTTAATGTTTCATGTTTATTTAACTTTTTAATTATATCCAGATGATAATATTTTTAATTTTATGTGATTTTCATGTTAATATTTGTATTGTTTTATAAAAAAATAGTTGAAAATATAAATTTTTCTTATATAAATGATGGTTTGTTTATTTATCCCAACAAGTTTGCAAGAAGCATATGTAATAAATATGTATTGTATTTTTTTTTATTAAAATACTTGATTTATAAAAGACTAATATAAACTTTTTTATAGATATAATAATAATAATTATTATATATATACATATGCAAACAATATACAATACTTAAATTTTACATAATTTTAAAATATGGCATATATAATTGGTGTTATTACTTTTATACTGATTATTACATACCTATGCGCACATGTAATATAATTACAGCTTTAGATTATTATTAGAATTAATATTCCAATAATAATTTAAACTTTTCACTTTACTCTTTGAGCATTTTGAATGATTTTAGTACCATCTAGAGGTCGTCGTGTTCGCGAATTGTTCATACATATAATCTAGATCATTCTTTTACTACAAAATGCAATACTCGGAACGTCGTCTGATTGCAACTCGTATATCCGATATACTTCGATATACATGCTATAATAATTTGTTGAAAAACTAATATAGAGGTCATTCTCTTTAATTGTATGATATATTGTTATGCCCGTTCCGCGCATATCCGCTTGTCGCCGTTTTTGGAACGAAGAGCGCGTCGCTAAGAAGACGAGCGATTGCCAAGGGGAATAATAAATATAGCAGACAGAGATTCGGTTTGTCAGATTCGCACATACTTTCTCTCTGGTTGAACGTATCCACTGACAAACTGAATGAATGACCTGAATAAATACATGAATTTAATTCAAGCATTTCTGCAAGAATATATAATTTTATTTGTAGCAGGGAAAACGCAATAAATTTCTACAGTTTGACAGTGACTCTTCTTATTTCAAGCGCGCGCGACTTTGAGCGTTACCGACTCAGCATCGATAAGTCAAGCCACTACTATGACCAAGCGAATTAATGTTTCACACATTACAGAATGTCCGTTACCAACAGTAGTTATACAATAGTATCTACATTAGCATTCGACTGGGGGGGGGGGGGGGGGGGGGGGGGGGGGAGATAGTTGTGTAGCGCGCCCATTGAAATCGAGTGGTTGTGCTTTGCGCATGTCAGAACATCGCGGATAGAGAATTAAGAGAGGACTAGCAGATTCAAGCAGATTGCGTGGGCAGGTAGACATGCGTGGATGCGTGATTAGTTCGTCGGTTGTGTTTCAATTCTCAGGCAGAGCTGGGGGTTGATTGTATATCCTGTAACAATGTGAAAATTACAAAAGTAAGCAAATTTACTAGATACTGATCAATGAAATTATTAATATCTAGTAAATTTGCTCACTTTTGTAATTTTTACCTCATTTCAAGATATACACAATCAGAAACCTGAAATAAGGGACTCGTGATTGCCTGTAATAAGTGAATAGTGCAGTGCCAATAGAAGAATGAAAAGAAAGAAGATAAAGAAAAAGAAGAAGGAAAAGGAGAAAAGAAGAAGGAAAAGAAGAAAATGAAGGTAAAATTTTCTTAATGAGTAGATATTCTCTCAAAGTATATTTTAATTTATAATAGAAATTTTTAATTTGTTAAATTGAAAATGACCCAATCGAAGTCGAAACGTTTGTTTGTTATGTATGATTATTTGAATTAAATAGTTCGTTAATTTACTTGGCTCTTTGCCCTCTTTCTATTTACATTGTTTTATACATATAGAGCCTTATTAATTATTATTTTATTATATTATATTCTTCAGAGTATTAGGACAAATTATATGTTAATTATAATAAATTATAAGACTAAGTATAATGTATAAAATAAAGTATAATAATAGAATAAGGGCAAACAGCCAGTTATAACAGTCAATTTAAATTTAAAAATTAATAATAATCATATGTAAATAAAAGTAACAAAGAAATTTAATATAATAAATAAATAAATAATATACATATACGTTTCGACTCCAATCGGGTCATTCTCAATGTTACATTTAAAAAAAATTTTTAAACGGTAATTAAATTACATAAATACCTTCTACAAAAATTAATTTAATTAATCAAATAATAATAATAATTAACACAACTGACGAACGATATTCAACGTAGCTAGAAATTTATACTGTACACGTTTGCTGAAGATGGCCAAAACCAATGGCCGAAACGTTCAAATACATTTGTACTTCTAAATTATAGTAAAGTATATATATTTCAGAATTTAATTGTTGCGCTTGTCCTTCTGCGTTGACTCCTAAACAGCCGCCTAAATTATCATTGTTATTTAATTATAAGGAGTCTAA